ATTTTTCTAAATAAGATGAGTGGTTCACTATTACGTGTCATTGGTCATGCAGTCGTTTCATAAAGATGCATGAGATGTGCCAAATCATTAAAAGCAAATTTTTATGCATGTGCTGTGATAAAGTCTTTAACCAAGGAAATCTATTTTCAAAATACATACTCCCGGTGCCATACCTACTAGAAATAATCATGAATTTTGTCTCGTAGACCTGATTTTGTACATACGAAGGTTGAGTCAACAAGGTTTGTAATGCAAATAATGCCTCAATAAACTCAAGTAATGCATGGCATGAACTCGATCCTCTTCCAACAAGTGGGCATAATTGATAAGGTTTAATGTTGTTATAATTCATAGAATTTGAGAAGGGTAAAAAATACCTTATATTTATTATACAAAATTATCCCTATTTATAGATGTATACAAAATGTCTTAATAAAGAAATAAATAACTTCTAATTGATACATAATTGCCTCAATATAATCCTTCCTAAATCAGCTACCCAAATATAGAAGGATATTGGCGTGATCCAAGTGGGCCTCCCACGGATTCTCATCCTGACCGTGGGATCAAATGCCAAGGGATGACTGAGATTTTGACACTCCCCCTCAAGCTGGAGACCAGCTTGCAATTACTCGCTCAGAGATAGAGCTGCATTGGTTATAGATAGGATATCAACCACAAGAGAAAGCCTACAATGAAGGCCGATGATGAAAAATTATCCTCAAAATTCTGACAATGAAGGTTGGTTGAAAGACCAGTATTCCTTAGAATTTTGGCAATGAAGGCTGGTTGTGGGAACTTTTATTCCTCAGAACTCTAGCAATGAAGGCCGGTAGTGAGAACTTGTATTCCTCAAAATCCTAGCAATGAAGGCCGATGATGGAAACTTGGTATTCCTCATATTTTCGGCTATGAAGGCCGATTTCTCCTCTTTGGACTGTACTACCTGGAAGATGACATTTTTGTGTCAACTGAAGACTATATGTTTGATCTGGATAGCAATGAAGGCTTCCAAAATTAAGATTCCTCCAATCTTTAGCTACGGCAAGATAGTTTTAATTTTTATTGATTTATTTATTTTTATTTTTTAAAATTGCCGGTTTAGGAAAAAATCGACCGAATGTTTAAAAGCTCGGGTCGAGTTGCTAGGGCACGCACAAGTCTTCTTTCCGCCCACTCGAGCCGCAAGCAGGATCCATCTTCGTCCCGCACTCCACCGTGTGCGACCGATTTTGGGTGACTTCCAGGCGGCTAGCGTCTCCTGCGTGCGTGCCGATCGGGACTGGAGTTCTCCGGAGAAGCCGTCTGCGGCATGTTGAAAAACAGAGGTTTGAGAAGAAATCGGGGTCTAGCGTCGCTTCTTTGGCTCCTTCGTGGCTGTTTGACTATGCTCCTTTGACGATTTTCCCTTTCTGTCGGATCGAAAGTTACGATACTTGGATAGGTTCCTTCGTGACTATTCGACCGTCGCAGGTAGTGCGAGAGTCGAATAGAGCTCCGCAGCCCTGCTCCTGTTCCGCCTGGATGTCCGATTCTGCCTAGTGCCGACTCCGCCTGCTTGCATTCGTCCAAGTCGAAGGCAACGTCTGGCAGCTCCAATTTCTTCTTCTTCTTCTTTTCCTCCGACGATATAGGATCGTTCTTGGACAACAATTAAGGCTGTTGGCTCTGATACCATGTTAGAATTCATAGAATTTGAGAAGGGTAAAAAATACCTTCTATTTATTATACAAAATTATCCCTATTTATAGATCTATACAAAATGTCTTAATAAAGAAATAAATAACTTCTAATTGATACATAATTGCCTCAATATAATCCTTCATAAATCAGCTACCCAAATATAAAAGGATATTGGCGTGATCCAAGTGAGCCTCCCACGAATTCTCATCCTGACCGTGGGATCAAATGCCAAGGGATGACTGAGATTTTGACAAATGCAATAAAGTATAATCATGAAAGATACTCCATATGATGGGTGTAATCTAATGCTCTTAGATTTTACATATAAAAAGCCTAGCCTAGTGATTGCCGCATTGACTGAAAATATGAACCGAAGGGGATTCCATTTCCAAAATGTCCTAAAATCCTAACACTACTTATTTTTGTTCCAAATCCATATAAAAATACAAAAAAATTTAAAATTCAGAAAAAAAAAAATTAAGTGAAATTTTTTAATGCAAGTAAAGGCGAACCCCTATCCATTCTCTACAATAGTTATCCGTTGGTGACAAGTTTAAGATAATGTTAGCTCACAAAAAGCTAATATCATATTAAGTATATCACCAGAATCACCACCAAAGATCTCACACTACGAAGGATGTTGCATGTGCTCAATTGGGTGATTTTATCGCCAAATGACACCATTAAATAATAGCTATGATCGAGGACCTTTGATTGATTGGTTTTGCCATAAAATAGTACCATTAAATTATGATTATGATCAAAGTCTGATTGTTCTCTAATAGCTTTGCCTCTTGAGTTGTGAATCATAGGGTGCACTTGCTAGCCACAAAGCTCTTTATTTGTTGAAGTTGACTTAAAGTTATCCCCTTTGACAAACATTTATCCTAAGTCTACATGTTCATCTTGGACAATGCAACAAATGACTGCTGTGTGGGCTCCGAAAATTCGGCCCCGGCCTCCCCGCCGCTTTTTTTCTTTTTTATTTTCGGCGAGGGAGTTTTAACTGATAAGTTCCGGGGTAAATTTTGGAAGGCAGATGGTTTTGTAGATAAGACACTACCCAGAGATTTCTCCCTCATTTTGCGAGGACTTTATGATCTGAGTTCTGGTTTCCTATAGGCGCAAGCCCATATAGTTAATTACCCCTCCCGATCACGAGAGAGAACTTTCGATTAAGGCTAGTCGTCGATCAGATACGCAGAATATATGTGGTATCTGGCATATAGTAGCAGCATGAATTTGGGATTTGAAAATTGGAAATATATTTGGAATTTGGGAGATTTCAGATGTTTGGAATTTGGGTCATGAGATTTATTATTAATTAAATGTAATTAAATTTTAATTAACTATCATTAATTTATAACTAAAATTAATTAGTTACAATAATAATAATAATAATTATAATCATAATTATAACAAAAATAATAATAATAATAATAATAAATAACTCTCCTTCTCCCTCTCTTACTCTCTGGTTCGGCCAGAGATAGGACGAAGAAGCGCGCCAAAGGGGAAAGTTAACTTCACAGAGAGCGGGCTCCCGTTTGTGTTCCCGATCAAAATGTCTAACTTCCGGTCCGGTAGGTAGGGGAAAGTCGTAGAAGGAGCAGCGTCAAACAGCCACGAAGGAGCTGGAGGAAGGGGCGACGTCCGGCGACCGTGAGGGAGCGGGGACGGACGGCATGCGACAGGGAGAAAGTTCCTTCACGCGAGCGAGCTCCTGTTACGTCCGATCAAAATGTTGTAACTTCCGTTCAGACAGGAAGGAAAAGTCGTCGGAGGAGCGAAGTCGTACAGCCACGAAGGATCAGAAGAAGCGGCTGAAGGGAGGAAGACTACTCCACAGCCGGCGATTTCCAGTGGCTTCTTCCGATCAAAATGTCGGAACCTCCGCTCCAACAGGAAGGAAATGTCGTCGAATTGGCGAAGTCGAACAGCACAGAGGGAGGGAGAATCGGGAGAGGAAAGGAGGATTTGCGTGGAGAAGAGGCTGAAAGCCTCGACGCTTTGGGCTTTTAACGACTCGAACGAGTCGTGCGAGCGATCGTGGGGAGAAACGACGCGAGGCATGGCTTCGACGTGGGAAGATGTCGTGCGACGTGTTTCGCAGAGGGCAGGTGAGATTTGATTTTTTTTCTTTTCTGTTTTTTTTGTTACACAGCAGGTCAACATGCTGATAAGGATCCTTGATTAGGTTGGGTAAGCTACCTCCGTTGACTAAGTAGATTAGGATCCACAACAACCCGGGATGATAGAATCGTGAAATCCTGATCGGATTCATTATCGTCCCCCACTTATTCGTTTTAAGCTAAATGTGGTAAATTTTTTCATTCTAAAAATTAAAAATGTTGCTAATATAAGCTATGTATTTACTTCCCCATCAACCAACTTTAATCGAAAGTTCTTTTTCGTCAACTGGAGAGATAGTTAACCATAGGGGCTTATGCTTATAAAATACTTGAAATCATATTATAAAATTTTCAAAAAATGAGGATGAAATCTCTATGTAGCGTTTTACATACCATCTAATATTCCTTCTGAAAATTTCACCTAGAAAAATCACTCTTTTAGAAGAGCTGGGTATGAATTTTTGGAGCCCACACTATATTAATCTTATGATTAGAGCATCATTGTTGAAATCAACACCTATGCAAAAAATTTCTTGCATGTTCATCCTTTTTTGGAAGTAAATGATGCTTATAAATCTCCTTAAGTAGGAATATATTGAAAGCTAGTACAGGGAACTCATATTTTATTATATCGAAAGAGTTATCAGCCAACTATTGCACATGCATAAATCATGCTATACACTTTGTACTATCTTGTCTGGTCGTATCCTCAGCTTAAGTTGAAATAATGAAACCTACCACCACCATTAAAGTTCCCCTAAAATTGATAGTTTTGGCATTTTCTTTTGTTTAATGATGTTTATGATTGATGGACTAAAGAACGTGCTTTTAAAGAAACTGCACTCCATGTCGCAATTTGTGTTGTGAGTTTATTGTGATTAAGCTATTTTCATTTTGAAATTTAGTGATGATTTTAGCTTGAGACACATTTGGATTTGAGAAATTTTTATTTTTTTCTGAAAGTCACTGGAGCACTGGGGTATTCTCATTTAAAAATCATCAAAACACATTTGTCAGGGAATTAGTCTTGCTTGCTTTGAATGCTTTACCCATTGCTTTCTTGGTGGCCAACATGTCAAGTTTCTTTTACTTCCCTATATTCTTTTGGTGTAGTAGTTCTACTTTGACAGAACATTGTTTATGCTCAGCATTTCTTGAATCTATCTCATCCGAAACTCCTCCCAGCAGCCCCTCTCCAAGGTTATGAGCTCTTTCTTTCTTCCTGGAATACCAAGTGAAGCTGTAACTCCCAGTGCTTATCCAGTATCATATCTCGTGTCATTTGGCTGATTTAAAAGGGCTGTAACAGGCAACTTTAAAGGCAGAGGACATCCTGAATTCTTGGCCGGAGGCTGAAGTGGGAAGGATATTGCGTGATTACGGAGAGGAAAGCAATTGGTGGTTCCTCCAGGAAAAGATAATTAATGCTCGAAAGAAGGGCGGATTGCATTCCACTAGAGAACTTGTAGATCTTGTTCGTAAAGCCTCTGGAAAGTCAGGAGGTATATAACCTGCTTTGGGTTCAGGGTACTTTTATTTTATATTTTAAATTTCTTGTTGCTGTTTTAGTGGGATATGGGTTGTTCTTGCACTCTATTCTACAATATATTACTCTTTTGGGGAAAACAAAATCTAATTTGTGTTAATATATTGTCAGCTTGATTTTCTTAAATGGTTAGCTAAAATAACTTTTGTTTATCTTCTTATAGTACTGCTTCAATGATTTGAATATTTCATGTTTCCTGTAAATTGAAGGAAGACTAGGCTGGATTAAGACAGCTACACGGGTGTTCCAAGCACTACGGATAGTAGTGAATGATGAACTTCAAACTCTTGAAAACGCACTATATGCCTGCTTTGACTGCCTGTCCTCTGGAGGTCGGCTTGCTGTAATTTCATTCCACAGTTTAGAGGACAGAATAGTGAAGAAAGCTTTTCTTGACATAATTGAAAATGAAGGAGAGGATGATGAGGAAGATTATACAGTCAAAAGGAATGATAAAATTGGCACTGGAACACAAATTTGGAGTAAACAGAAGATAGTGGGGAGAAATGGGACCATCCTAACAAAGAGACCAATAACACCTTCTGAAGATGAGGAGAGATTAAATCGCAGGTGTAGAAGTGCTAAACTTCGGGTTATTCAAAAGCATTAAAATCAAAGTAGCATTTTTTCAGAGAGCAGCATCTATCAACGTATGTTGAGGGTAAGTCTTGTTTGAGTTTTCTCTATTTATAAAAAGTTGTGGACTTAAAACCCCATGTTTGAAGTTAAGTGATGTTGGGAGCTTTCAGAACTTTGAATTTACTACATTAAAGTACTTTATGTGCTTAGGATATCTGCTATGGTTTGATTGTATTTTCCTTAAATTTTTTGGCCAAGTTTGCTTGCTTTCAAATTTGAATATACAAATAGAGTTAAACAGTCAGTCGCATGATGATTTACTATGGAAATGATTGAACATCTTCTAGTAGTCTTATTTCGCTACAGTTTAATTTTATTTTATTTTAAGTTTACAACATTTAACAAGTTGTAAAAAAACATCTAAGATGCTTCATGTTCTCCCAAAAAAGGAACAGAACTTGCTATTTTATGTTTGGGACTTAGGGTTATATATCGATGATTATGTTTCAAACTTAGTACTTTAGTGTGTGTTACTTGTAGGTGATGATTTTGATATGTGAGATATCTTATGAAGTGAGAAGTTAAAAATTTTAGGACTGCTGGAATTTCGATGTGGAGATTAGGGTTTAATAGAGTTTGGCTTAGGATTTTCTATGGAATCAAGTGAATCAATTTTCAGTTACTTGTTTGGAATTTGGTGGGATATTTTAGGTTTAACTTCAATGAGAGAGCTCGGTGGTTTCACTAAATGTGGAAAAGAGTTTCCTCAATTAGAGAAAGGAATAAATATATTAGATTGATCCAAATCCTATAAGGGGGACAATGGTTAACTCTCTGGAATGAATGGATCATAAATGGATATTGGGCTAATATGATATGTCAAGTTTAAGATTCACTCAAGCTATTAGATTATAGTCAAGAGAGGAGTACATTCTAACTTACCTAAGACAACTAATAATCTAGCAAAAGAATACTATAAGCAATTATTCATTTTTTTCAACGATGAAATCACAATTACATAGGATGAAAATGGTAAAAGAAAAAGAAAATGTATAAATTCAAGCCAATATAAAGCATAGAGTAATGATTATCCTAGTGGAGTCGATCATGCCGACATTCAAACACCATTCCTATAAAATTATAATGGTATGGAGAAGATTAATAATGTCCCCTATGCAAGGTTGACACACGAATTGATAAATTATTTTTTAACGCAATCCACCTTAGTTTAGTGGTTAGGAGCTTTGACTCCTATTACTGTAGAGGTCACGAGTTAGAAAGTTTAGTGTATTTGGGCTTGTGTGTGAGTTTGCTATTAAATTCACTCAAATAAATTTTTTTTTTGATATCTTTCACCCTCCTGATTTGCGCTCGTTAATCATATTTCACTTTTTGCTTCCCTCTCACAGTAGACATGCTCGCAGAGGATGTATGCAGGCATGCGATACTTATATATGAAAAGTTAACGCATGTTGCATCTCATATGTGTAATTTTTCTATTTTGTTCAATCGCCCAAGTCGGATCTATATTAAGAAAGATAGAGGTAGCTCCAGTGGAAGATAAGATTAGAGAGAGTCGTCTTAAATAATTTGGTCACATAAATTGACGGCCTTCTGATGATAGAGGTATTTGATTCGATTTATATTAAGAAAGGTAGAGGTAGACCTAAAAAGTCTTGGTTATAAAATACTAGAAATGATCTTTGCTTATTAGATTTAAACGAGAATTTGACCTTTAACAGGACACAATGAAGAAAAAAGATTTATGTAGTCGACCCCACCTAGTGTGGCAAAGACTTGATGTTGTTGTTATTGCTGCCCACCAATTTTGCAGTATTTGTGCTTCATAGTTTACTTCTCTCTATTGGTTGCTAATTGCCACTTTTGAAAGGCTTTTTCCTTGCTTCGTTCCATCTGGCAAACATTATAGGCAATTACCGTATTTTAATTATTTTTATTTATATATTGTACTATATCGTTGCAGTCATCTTCTCTGAAGAGAGCTGCAGGAATGCAGCTGGATTCTAGGAGCTTCCTGTTGATATTGGACTATACAGAGGCTAGAAGGAATGGAGAATGAGGACTAGATTATTGATGCTGATGTCGGGTGTTTATATTATGTAGATTGAGGAGAAATTAAAATTTCAATGAGTTGTATTTATTTTTGTTGTTTTAGGGGCTGCTAACCGTATGTTCTAACTATCAAGCTTAGAAGTGCAAGTGAGTCGAGCCAGCTCAATAAATGGCTTGTGAAGTGAGTTCAATGAGTTAGTGAGTTAAACTTGAGCTAGCTCTGATTGAACTCATTAGTTAGGGAGCCGTCTCATTTAAAATGTATTAGTATATAATGCACTTAAAATATATTAGCATTCATGATTTTAATGATAATGTTAAAAATGTTTAAAAATTATGTTTCGCTTCCTTGTATAATAGTAAGCATTGTCACAATAATATTATTTTTGCTCTCTCTCATTATTTGGGGTTGGTTATAAGAATTTTTTTTCTCTATTGTCTAATTTTGGCTCTATTCCATTATTTGTGGTTGGTTATATGATTTTATTTTTCTCTTAGATTTAAATGAGAGTTTGACTTTTAACCGGACACAATGGCGAAAAAGGATTCATGTAGTTGACTCCAAGTAGTGGGACAAAGACTTGATGTTGTTGTTGTTGTAGAGTTAAATTCTTATTTAAATCTAACAAATAAATGTCATTTCTAGTGTTTTTTAACCAAGACTTTTTAGTTCTATCTCTATCTTTCTTAACATAAGTCAAATTTAATGCATATACCTTTCTAATCGAGTCATTGGAAGGCCGTCATTTTATGTGGCCAAACCATCTAAGACAACTCTCTCTAATCTTATATTTCACTAGAGCTATTCCAATCTTTTATGTGTATTCTCAATATATATCTTGTCTCTAAGAGTAAAGCCACTCGTCCATTTGAGCATATGCAACACTTAATACTATGCTTGAAGTGCTCAATCATTAAATCAAGATAATCAAGAATTCAAAATGGTAATGATGGGCAGTTAGTTTTTAGTATTCATCTCTTAGTTTTTGTTCCTGAAGGTTTTGATTGGGACAGTTTTTTTTATTGTTTTTTAAAGTATTTTTTTTAATACAAAAATTTCTAAAATTTTAAAAAAATTGTATTAAATTTTTTTTTTTTAAGCCTTACCAACTAGATAGCACAATTCATGGAAGGTTGCTATCTTGTTGTTGAGAGTTGCGAAGCTCCGTTCAAAGGCAAATTATTGCATCCGGTCACCTGACAGAGAGATACGTTCGGATCTCTCTCTGTTTACAGTAAAAGCGCTTTTTTTTTTATTTTTTAAAATATTTTTTTAATAAATTTTTTTTAAACTAATAAATTTTGTATTAAAAAAACTGTTTCAAAAAAAAATAAAATAAAATAGATGTGCTAAACGAAGCCTTACTCGACTCCGAAAGGCAAATTTTTTAATCGGACGTCTCTTAATGCAGGCAAATTATTGCATCCGGTCACTGGACTCGGAGATAGGTCAGGATATTAATAAAATATCATTTTAAATTAAGCGCATCAAAAGCGTAGGTAAAGCACAGGTAAAGCTCAAGTAAAGCGCAGGTAAAGCGTAGTCAAAGCGCAACTAAAGCGCAAGTCAAAAGCACAGGTGACGTAGCAAATTTTTATTGGATGTCCGAACCTATTCTCTGCGTCCGGTTACCTGATGCAATAATTTGCCCTTAATGCAACTCGATAGCACAATTCATGGAAGGTTGCTATCTGGCTGTTGAGAGTTGCGAAGCTCCGTTCAAAGCCTTTGACAAGTCTAAGTAGAAGCAATAAAGAGAACAGAGCAACCTGAACATTTTTGTCTTGCACAGTTATTGATGGGATTACAGGACTTGCATGGTCGATCCTGTCCTAGCTCAGATATATAATATTAATCTCATGAATGATACTGACTTGCAATTTATGACAACTTATTTAGACTGTCGCCCCTTTTGATTCCGAGATCCATCCTTCTATATTTTACTCATTTTCTAGATCCTTCATTTTATATTTTACTCACTATATAAAATCTTTTATCTTTTATATATTAACTCTAAAAACTAAAGAATTTTAAAAAATATTAAGCAGGTCATTTTTTAAGCAAAGGCAAGTTTGCGGGATAATCGATAGTAGACTAATGGGTCAGAAATCTAGACCCGAACCCGATACCTTAATTAAATAGGTTTATTCGAATTTGACTTGTTGAGTTGGGTTCGAGTTTGATGACGATTTAGGTCGTTTATTGATGCCCCTTATATACGCCCCCATTTGCCACAGGGATGTCGATTTATCTGCTAACATAATGAGAGTGAAACCCATTTATTAGTCCATATTTCCCTTAGGGTTGTTTGAAAATGGAATGCTGTGTAAAAAGAATTTTAGAGTTTTTTTGAATGGTGATATTATTATTATTATTTTGACTGGTTTGAAGTAAAGTGATTACAATATAAAGTGAATAGTGGTGGCTTGAGGCGGCGGCCGTGGGGATGGTTGGAGACGGTCGGCGGACGGTGGCAATGTCAGAGTAGGCGTCGAAGGCGGTGGGGCCGGTGGTAGCCGGAGGAGATGGCCGACAGGAGGTGGTTGTTGGTGGACACAGGTGGTTGGCAAGAGGGTGGCAATGCTCTTGAGTTTGCGGTGTATTTGAAAATCACCTAAATTGAAGGACTACCAAATATACCAAAAATAAACTAGAATGGAATACATTGTATTTACTTTACTTTATCTTAAATTTATTTTTCATCCAACCAAACACCCAAATTCTCAAAAATTCAAAATCTCTGCATTTGAATTACTATACACCGTAAATGCATCAAACTAAACAACCCCTTATAATCCTCCAATGACTGAAGCAAGTTTTTCAACCTCCTGAGATTTTGATTAATTTTCATCCGCTTGTTTTTTTTTTTGTGAAGAGAAAAACCTCATTAATGCATATTTATATCATTTTTTCCTGAATTATGTTTGTAATAAGATTCAGAGCTTGAGATTCTTAATTTTCTGAAGATCTAAACAAGATGAAATATTAGCTAATCCTACATTAAAAAAATGACTTTTCTAATATGAAGTGATTACTTTTCTGAATCTAATGAATAATATAATTATCTGCAATGAATATTTCACAGAATTTGATCCTTAGATGTTACAATAAATTAAGTTTAAGTGATAACGCAATGTTTTCGTTTGGATGATGAAAAATATAGTACTAATACAAATATTAAACTTACAATAAAGTTATGGAGATGCTTTCATTACATATATTCATATACAGATTTGAATACTGCTCCTTTTACTAAAAAACCTCTATTATGTTATCATTTGTCGTGAAAGGAATAGTAGAAGATTTCGGCATTACAGTAACAGCCAATCGATCATCTCCTATAAAATTAAACTGGCGATCAGTCTCAGAATTCAGAAATGAAGCAAATATCCAAAAATTCTGGCCAGTATTCATCGACAAACTGTCTTTTTTTGGGATTTCTTTCTTTCCAGTGATGAATATATGTCGCTGCGTCCCCTCCTCTTGGATGGAGAAATTATTCCGTGCAGATATCGGATGAAGAGAACCGTATGATTTTCTCTCTGTCTACAATAATAAAAACGCAGTTGTTACAGTAAAAGCACAGTTAAAAGAGAACACCAGACAGTTCTTCTCGTCCGATATCCACACAAAATATGAGGGATGTTCTTATGATCATGAGTATTTGTTTCTTTGGCCTGTTTTAACGGATATATAAGCTGAGCATTGTAAGAGATTTGCTGCAGCTCTTATTATGTCTTCTTCTGATTTTCATGCTCTGTAATCAATAATCATAGATACTTAACCCTTTTTTTTTTGTTATTCTCTGTATTAATGAAATTGGTTAACGGCTATATTTTCTAAGAAACAAGGCAAAAATAGAGCTTAGAGTAGAACAGTTCTATTTACAGCTGTGGCCAGCGAGAAATCTAACGTCACAGATGCGTTAAGGAAAAAATAAAAGCTGACATGAATGAAATGAGGAAGCGTGACTATTACGGAACTGAGGTTCCTTCCCTCTTCATCTTTTATCATTTCTGACTGAAATTAAGACCAGTAAATGCATCTGCTCCAGTCCTTGTCAGTCTCCATTGTATTTTTGCTAATTAAGGCTTATACTCCATGAAAAAAATTTAAATAAAAATAGGATTAAATTTCAAATAATGCTTCAATTATTCGCATATAATCACTTCAGCATCAGAATATAACAATGCTCTTATTTAATCCCTTGGTTAAATAAATTTATCTAAGATAATTTATTTGGTAAAGTTGAGAGACTAGAAGTTTTGTTTGGAATGAATTTTTTTATTGATTCTTAATAAAAAAAATTTTGAACTAAATTTTTTTTATTAGAATGATGTTTTTGTATTGCTTTATAAAATAAAAGTTTTTGAGCTAAAAAAGTTTATACTAGGGAATTACTTTAGAAAGCAGTAAAATAGTTGTACCAAACGAAGTCTAAAGATTGGTTTGGGATAGCTTCGACCACTACCTTAACGTTGCTTTAAGATATTTTTTTAAAAAATTATTTTAGAAAACAGTAAAAAATTGACTCCAATTAAGTCTAAATAAGATCAATTTTATATCACAATTATAAATTAAGAGAATTATTACTTGATAAAAAAATCTTGATTTTGGCGACTTTTAAAAATTATAAATAGACCCCCACATACAAACGGAGGGATGGATTATCATGTGAACGCTTATCCGGATGCGTCATGTCACCCAATGCATGTGTATTGGGTGATGTGGCGTGTCCGAATTGACCTCCGGACGTATTCAGTGTATGTACATAATAGTTTTTTCCTATAAAAGGGGGGACAATTTTGACTTAAGATTCAAGAGAGCTCTTAAAACTTTGGACTAAGCCCCTTGGTTTATCTTTTTTGTGAGTTTTGCACGTACAACTTTAATGTCTCATACAAATCATTTTTTATTTATATGTATTGAATATTAATATGATACTAATTAAGTTAAATAACTTTTTGATTGTGAATATTTTGGCGATGAGTTGTACTTTTCTCAAATAAATTGTGTTGCATCTCAGAACATTTGCGGCGATAGAGAGATAATGAGCTCATCGTTTTAGCTTTGAACGAATATCCGACACATATACATATAAAAGAGAGATGTGCAAGAGTCATACGAGATATAAGAAATTTTATGTCGAAAACCCTGAAATGTAAAAAATCATGGGGTCTAACACAGTTGAAATGAATCCATTAGTGTTTGTTGATGGTTACAACGGATGCTCTTCCACAGGGGAAGACACTGGCTTAATGTAGTAAATATACATGAAGTTGGATGAATCAAATGATGTGAGAGTTGTTTTGAAAAGAATGTTGGCTTGTTCGTTT